CCGGCTGTACCGCTCTTTCTCTTGCACTTGCACATGAGCCGCGCCGACGACTGCTCTGTGCAGTGCGCACCACGCTGAAGCTGACGGGCATTCTTGCTTTCATGCCCAACTGCGACCGCCAGACAACCACGGCCTACCTGGCGGCCATCAAGGCCAACCTTCCCAGTGAGCTGCTGCGTGCTATGCACGGCCTGTGCTGTCAGGTCCCGCGGTTGCACCACGTCATATTGTGGGCAATATCAGCTGCTGTATTGCTGGTTGCTTGGAGAGCCAGCAGAAGAGCAACCGTCTGCTCATGCACCATGCGAAGCCACAAGTGCATGCCCTGCTCTGCTCCAGTGAGCGCCCAGCCATCACGTGCTATGTCGTGCATCGCTGTGCCGCTCACACCCATCTTGGTGTTGCCCTGCCCCAATTGCCGCAGGCGACGTGGTAACCACTGTGGTCAGCGCCACTCGTGTTTCAAGTGGCTGCCAGGTGGTCACCTCCAGCTCCTACCCCGACAGCCGGCACACCCCGGCGCTGACTTTGGCTCGTCGCCTGGTCCCCACGCCGTACCCCCTTGGCGGCAAGACGTTTGGCAGCGGCAGCAGCTACCCCGCCTTCCTGGTGGAGGGCGACGTCAGCACGGGCAAGCAGCATGACGTAGTGACCTCAAAGTTTGTGCTGCTCACCTCTGCCACCGCCACCGGGCCCACCACCGGCAAGGGCTCAGCGGCCCCCATCCCAGGCAACTCGTTTGTCAAGGTGTGCATCTGGCAGCAGCAGATGGAGTGAGGTGGGATGGGAGGCGGGGTGGTGGTGCCACTCAGGATGTCCGAGCGGCAGGGAGACGGGCAGGGCCTGGGCTGCTAGCGCAGGGTGCAGCAAGTTGTGCCAGGCATGCGGTGACGGTCTATGAATGATGCCAACACATGAATGATGCCAACACATGCCTCACTGTTTGGAATCTCTTATGCCATTGAGATGGTATGCATCCAACTGCAGCTTAGCTCTCTTGCTGCTGCAGTACGAGTTCAAGCTGCAGCCTGCCAAGTGCCTGCCTGGCAAGAGCTCCACCACCACCCAGCCCACCACCGCCTTCTCCACCTCCTCCCTCACCACCTCCTCCAAGCCCACCGCCGCCGAGCCCGCCGCCACCCAGCCCGCCTCCTCCCTCTCCACCACCACCCAGCCCACC